CGTGAGACCGGCAGCTGAACTTTTGGGACCCTCTCATATGTCATGCAAATAGGCCCACGCAGTGGCAATGTCGGGTGGACAGGTGGGTGGGAGAAGAAGGGGGCTGGTGAGCGAGTCATCCTTGCTCAAGTGCAATAAGGTAGGTCCCAAATCAGCCAGGGACGTCAGATAACGTATTTTCGTTGCTGGGGAGAGTTATCAGTGACTCACTTGGCATTTTGTGGATTAGATCTTTCAGAATACTTCTGTCAGTGGTTGCACTTACTCAAAAGCAAACCTCAGGATAGGTCTTTATATATTTAATGATGTGACTATTGTAATATATATACATATATACTATAGTTTCAGGGAAGTTTTGAAAAATGAGTCACAGTGGGACATCACACTACTTTTTGCTTAGTTTCTTGCCAATATTTTCAATTCTTGATCTCGGAAATCAGTGTAGAGCTATTAAAGACATGGGCATTCTCAGACAACTGGCCCTTCATCCTAATGGCAATGATCGTGATCATGATAATACTATCCAACACATGTAAGGCTTGTTCTGTGTCAGGCACTGTTCTAAGTGCTTTACAAATATGACCTCGTTGAATGCCGACGACAACCCTCTGAAATGGGAGCTGTTATTTCCTCCACTTCCGGGGTGGGAGGCGGGAAGGTTTGTAACTTCCCCAAGGTCACAGAGCTGGTAAGCGGTGAGGCTGGGGTACAGACCCAGCCGGTGTGGACCCAGTTTGGGGGCCTAGGGTTAACCATCCAGTGCCAGTTGTGCAGGGAAAACCATGATACGCCACTGAGCTTTCAAAAAAAAGGGAAATTGAATAATGAGAATGACGTGGTTTCATTTTTGTTGTCAGTATTATGTGTGTGTTGGAGACACACACACACACACACACAGACACACACACAGACACACACACACACACACACAGCTGGGGAGACAGAGGGAGATTAGATCTGAATGGGAATAAGACAAGGAGGTCTGGAAGAAATCACGTAATTATACTAGTTACTTGGAGGGAGAGTTGTGTAGGTAATTTCACTTTTTCCTTCACATGCGTCTATTGTTTTAGATCGAACACACACACGGAGGAACTAATTAAGCTTTTAACTTAATGCTGCTGTCTGACACAGCACTTGCTTTAGATTCCCGTACTCCTGAGAGAAAAGATCAGTGTTCGCTGTTCTCAGGCTTAATGCAGTGACTTTCATGTAGTAAGTAGTCAATAAATGCTGTTTGCAGTGTTGTTTCACTGGGCAGTGTGTCGTTTGTATCATACCCCTGTATTCTCTCCGACGCTGGGCCCATTATAAACTCTGCCAGGATTTCACTCCTTAGGACGTTTGGACTGTTCTTTAGCTCAGGGGTTGCCCGATGTTTTCTCTCAAGGGCAAGGAGAGAAGAAGTATTTCAGGCTCTTGGGGTCATCGGATCTCTGTTGCAATTTCTGCCTCCGTCGTGTGACAGCAGCCAGAGGAGATACGTAAAGAAACGGGCATGACTGAGTTCCAGTAAAATTTGATTTACAAAAGCAGGTGGAGGGCTGCCTTTGGCCGCAGGTTCGCAGTGTTCGGATGCCGGCTCTAGCTGGTCAGAACAGGGTCACTGGCCCCGAGAAACAAGTGGATTTACTTTGTTCTCAGGATAGTTTTCTCCTGCAGTTCTGAGGGCTTTGCACATATGCGAAGGTCTGATTGGGATGGATTATAAATCTACTTTAGAATTTTTCACGTGTTGATGTAATTGCTGTCGGGTTGCCTCATTCTTGCCATGTGAGAGATTAGGATGGCCCGATTCCAATATCCCATGGGACTACTCTTGGAGTCGGCATCCACTGTGTCTTGTTATACTTCGTACAAAACACCCGGGTTTTGTTTGTTTACTTAGTTGCATCCCTAGCGAAGATGAGAGAGAAGGAAGTCTTCTTTAGGACAGGGCAGGAGAACTGTGGGTCCCACGCCACCACCCCCGCACCACTTTGTCGCTCTTCTGTGTCTCAGGAGTGGGGAGACTAGGCTTTTTCAGAGCCTCTACTCACTGCCTCCCCCTGCCCCCAAAGATAGCTCCATTCTTACTTGGTTGTAACTCCTACTGAGAATCCGAAGTCCTTAGGAACTGGGACAACTAGTCTTTTCTTCAGTACAGTTCCTCTCTGGGCAACCACGATAGTTCATTTCCTACGAAGCCAACCCTGATCTTGTGCCCTGAGCATAGCACAGGGCTCCTACGGTTTACTCCCTTCAGTAAGACTGCCGGGCTCCCCAAGAGTACCCTTCTCAAGGGCAAAGGGAAACAACTTTTATTTCCTAACTATTTCAAGTTCTTGGCCTCTATGTTCCTGTTCACAATTCCTCCCAAGGAACTTATACAATTAGGACCGTTGGCCACCCAATTCTTGCTCAATAAATAGTTGATGGGCAACATTTTCTTCGTTTGCAGACCACGTAATAATTAAACCCTACAGACTGATAGCTTTCTTTCCCTCTAATCCATGCAACCAATATCTAAATTCTCTTTAGGAAATGGCAAGGGCAAATCATCCCCATCTATAGTCCTAACCATAGGTTTGTTGGGCAAACTACGTACCTCACACCTAACTAGATCACGGTATGCCCCTGACTTTAAAAGCCAGTATTTAAAAGCTTACCTTTAACCTCTATCCTGTGGACAGAGGGGATAGAGAAGAAACAAAAAGCCCCATTTTTCCTTCCTGCCTGCTTTTAGGCATGCAAATATCTATTTCAATAACTGTTAAATTAAAACTCACACACATTTCATTTGCATTGAGTAATGGACTGAATGTTTGGGTTCTCCCTACAGCCATATGTTGAAACCTTAACCCCAAGGTGATGGCATCCGGAGATGGGGCCTTGGGGAGGTAATTGGGTCAGGAGAGTGGAGCCCTAGAAATGGACTGATCCCATTCTAAGAAGAGCATCCTTGTAAGAAGAGCAACCCTTGTCTTTCCTTGACAACTTTGTCTTAACCCGAAAGAGGAGACAGTGTGGGCCCCCAGGAGGAAGCCCCCAAAGCAACGGCCATTTTAGCCTGGTAGATTAGAAAGGGGTCATCTCATTTCCACACCCGGTGGCCACGAGTTCAAAAGGAAACTCCTTGAGAGAGGAGAACTCGTCTTCGGTGTCATGATGCCTAGCAGCTGCAACGCTTGAAATCACGAAATTACTCAAGAGTCTGTAATTTAAACTTTATTTCATATCTGTTGTTAAATTACACAAAATCAGTGAATTGTAAAGCCACACCATTGAACGGATGTTTACAGTTGAAATCATGGGATTTATAGGATGATGACAAAAACGCGTATTTATAACATCCCTTATATACAATAATCAGTATAGACAGAGAAAATGCACGTAATCTCTGCAAGCCATGCACACCACAGCAATAACACAAAAAGGTTTTCCTTTTTTTCCCCTGTAACAGACATTTCCACTGGCTCGGGCTCCATCCTGCTTTCCAAAGGTACTTAACCGTTTTAAGAGCAAACGTGTCAATTAAAATGAAACAAAACTGAGATACCACAGTGATCTACAGGATCTTTATTTTAAAAACACAATGTACACAAAATAGTTTCACTCTAAAACACGTGGACTTCAAGGTGTGTTTGAGTTTAAAAAAAAAAAATTCCTTTCAGTTCTTCAGTTCTCAGATTTCCCAGGACTGCAATACTGTCAGATAAAACACACTTCAGACAATAGTGATACAAGCTCAGCGTCAAGAAAATTTATTTTTAAACCCAAATATGCAGCTTCTTGTCCGGCTTGTGGCCATAAGTATTACAGATGAGACTAGATCATGCAGATAAGCAACGGATTGTACAAGATGTGACTTTATCGTCATACTTCTAAGCATGTCGCTCCTGAAAACATCAATGCTATTTCCAGTTGTCTTGTCGGCTCGACAGCCAGGGGGTTAGCGTAGGTCCCTCCCTACAAAGTATAGCAAAACCCATAAAATGGAAACTGCCCAGAATCACGATGCTTGCTAGCACAGCGGGTGCTAGCATCTTTCTTCTCGCCCTGCTCGATTCTATAACTGATCGCCTACAAGTGTTTGTGCAGAGACTTAACATGAAATCACTGTCCTCAATGCATATGCTCCTGAGACTCAACCTCACTGCAGAACACTCTTTCTCTTTGTTCTTTCTTCAAACAAAACCGGGTAGAGGGTTAGCCCAAAGTATCGAGATATAGCTTTTGGTGTTACCGAATAACTGGCTATCCTAATGCTTATTCTACCATTTTTTTTCATATCGTAATTGTCTACAATCTGTCAACACAAAAAACAAATGGGCTAGAAGCAGCCAGCCCAACTGGAAATGGCACAATAAGAATGTACAAAAAGTCAATAACAATTCATTCACATTCAGGTTCAATTCTATCTGATCAAGAATAACTTCAGCAATATTTTTAGACACGTTATCCTGTTCAAGAGTTTCTTGATAAGGACCTCACTACACAAACATTGATAAGACAATTCTATAGAAAGAAAGTCCTGACTTTAATCCAGGATTATATATCACAAGAAACTCAGCAACACACCATTTAGATGATGAAGAAAGATTCTATAAATGGGTTATTTTGGAATGAGCACAACTCGGAGAAGCCGTCAAATGAACGAGAAGCAGCGCCAACGAGATTCCAGAACTGTTGAAATTACAGTGCCCAGAGAGCGTCTGAAAATTAGATCTCTACACTGGTATTTCATTTGGGAGAAAAGTGTTTTTGTTTACTATGAGATACACCCTGTTTAAAACCTTTAAACAGTAGAAGGTAGAAAAAGTTGAAAATTCTAAACATCTCTTAAATAAGATATGAATCCTGTTCTACTTGTAAAGCCAATATTTCTTACATAAAACTGCCCATGTTTGGGAGAGAAAAATCTTCATTCCTACAGTTTGGTAAGATTTACCATCAGTTCTTATTCCATTTAAATAGATTCCTGGTTAAAATCAGAAGAAAATAAAAGGTTTTGTGGTTAATTTTGGTTTTTTAATGTATATATTCCTGCTTACCCCTGGGAACAACTGTTTGCTTCCAAGAGCAAGTTTTAACAGTGTATCATGAATAATCTGGAGACGTTTCTTAGCCATAAGTTGAATGGCCACATTTTATGCTTTCATTTTGTCTCTATAGCTAATTTAAGAATTTCTTAAAATATCGAAACAGCAATTTCTGGCGAGTCTGGTTTGGCTTTTGGATTTTATAAATACTCCAACAAACCAAAAAGAGGCAATTTAATTACATGCTGAAAGTTGTTTTACCCACGCACAGTATAACATTTAATTGAAAGGCAACTGTAAAGGCAACATCTTAACTTTTTTTTAACTTCCAAACTTAAGGAAGCAGGATGTGTTTGGAAACTCTCATGTTTTAAGACTTGCCGTATCTCTACTGGCGCTTTGGGACAAGTGTGCAAAGGCCTCTGGGAGCCACTTAACGCCATTTCTCTACGCTGCCTATGTAATCATTGGTGCCATTGCTGGCGCTGCCATCGCTCGGCTCTTGACCTGGGCTCTGCTTCTGGCTTTCACGGTTCTCCTTCTGGCTCGAATTCTGGGTCAGATTCTGAATCAGATTCTGAGTCACATTCTGACTGGCATTCAGATTTGGGTTCTGACTCGGATTCTGACTCGGATTCTGGCTCTGGCTTTGGCTCTGGCTCTGGCCCTGACTCTGGAAATGGGTCTGAAGGAACCTCCCCTTCAGAAATTTGCGTTGTTCCTGACGCTTCTGCCTAGCTTCCTGATGCTCCTTCTGCCTCATAAACTGGTACCTTTGCAAAAAGAGGTCTTTTGCATAGCTGTACAATTCCATATCCAGAAAATTCAGTCCCTCAATCCGCTTTTGGATTTCCTCATTGATCTCTACGCTAGAGGCCCTAGTGGTATTGTATTGGGTAAATGGCGAAATAAAGTTCATGTTGAAGGTTTTCTCAAACAGGTACTGGGTCTTCCGCTGAAACTCAGTGAGGCCAAAGAATGCCATGTGCTTCAGATTCGATTTGGCACTTTCCAGGAGGACCTTGTTTCTTTGCTTTTCAGGCATGACGGAGAGGTTGTAGCAGCCGACCAGGGTCAGGTCGGAGAGCATGCGCACCTGGCGGTTATTGGCTAGATTATAGGGACAGTCCATGAACTCTTTTAGGGGGCAGCCAGACCAGTCATCCCCAGTGTAGCAGCTGGGCAGCTCTTCGGAGGTTGGGGGCCTTCCATCACAGACGTGCAGGGATGCTTTCCATGTTGCCCCTCTCTGGACGTGCCTCCACTCACTCAAGTACCGGGACACTGGGTCTCGGAGGATGGTGATGTAGTGGAAGTTCCTATGGGCAAAGCACAAAGACCAACAGTCAGCGCTGTGGTGACATGAGTGCAGTCAGCGAGGTACATGGCGTGTGTGATGTTCACTGATCAGTAAGGAGGGCAAAGGGGGAATGATGGTGATCTGGTAGCATTTGTCCTGTGAACTGCGTTGTAGACTGCTGTCCGAGTCCTACGAGCCCATCTGGGAAGCTAACCCTTTCCCCCAATTTGCTGGTACCGCAGCGAACGAAAGTAGGCCAAGTGTAGGCCCAGCACATGGTCCTTGTCATTCTTCACTTCCTCTTCCCGCTCCTCCTGTTTCTCTTTCTCCAGCCAGTGACAAAACCCTCCCGACGACCTCATGCGCTTAAGCAGGCAGCCATGTTATTTCATATCCCCCCTAATTATTTCATATCCCCATTAACTGATCACAAAATTCTAACCTTTCTTACTAAATATACGAAAGCATTTTCCCAACATCCAGCCTAATCAGGATACCTTATTAAAAGATAAAACCTCATTGAAAGAGTGTCGATATGATGCTTTGATTCTGCCTGTTGTCCTAACATCATGGCTCATTGGTTCTGGAAGCGGCGGGCAGAGATCGGCAGAGCAACCCGGGGCCTCCAGAAATAAACATTGTGGTTAGTCACCGACTGAAATAGACATGGTAACTGCCAATGGCACATATGCAGGCTACCACCTCGGTTTCAGCCTTAGCTCGCGTGATATTCCCGGCCCAGCAAAGTTAACTCTATCAGCTCCAAAATGCTCCCTTTCTTTACCTACTGAAAGGATACCCGGGTGTCAACAAGTGTGAAGGTTCTGCCATATGGCTATCTTCACTTTAAAGCTGCAAACTGAAAAAGTTCTTTGTTCAAATAGTGGACTAACGAACACTGAACCCATACGTGCACGCACGCACAGCAGGTGAACATGCACGCACCGCACCCCAGAAATGTCAAAGCCTAAGATGTGATCAGACATACTCAAGGGGAGAAACGACCCTGGGGTTGTGCTTTTTAATTAAGAAATGATTTTTTCCCCCACTGAGATTCAGTAGATGAAGGCTGAGGTCAAGGAAGGGCATATTGTAGAAGGAAAACAATAATGAACACTATTAGCATTTCGCTTCTTACAGAAAACCTGAGGAATGGCTGGCAGCTTTTGTGAAATCTATTCATTCCCATCTGAGAGAGTGGTGGCTCTGTACGCCTGCCAAAGGGAACCAACTCAACCACCGACGGGCTGAGTCTGTTGGCGGCAACGTTTCAGAGCCAACCACCGACAGGCTGAGTCTGAAACGCGGTAACGTTTCGGGCTTCGAGCAACTCAGGCACCCCGGGGTCTATCCTGTATGCCTCTATTCTCTGCATGGTGTTTCTTCTGCTGGGCATGACCTTCCTTCTGTGACTGGAAAATTCGAAACCTCCTTCAAGTTGTAGTCCAAGTACAATCTCTCCTCTGAGAAAACGTAACCCCACCGCCTGCTGTCAGCCCTCCCCTCTTCCTCTGTGGCACCATAGTACGTCCACAGTTACTTAGCCTTTGTGAAAACCCTTTTGATACTGAACTGTGACTGCTTGTTTGTATTTCTGCTTAAACGGTGTTTTCCTGGACAGGGACTCTGTGCTCTTCTTCTAGAACTTCTAGGGAAGAGGAGGGAGAGAGCTGGGGACCGGGAAGGCCATGCCCCATCCTACAAAAACTCTGGAGAATCTTCTAAGTGCCTTGCAAATATCACAGAAAGTTTTCTTTTTTTTTTTAAATTACTTTATATATTTTTTTCCGGACTAAACAAGCATGGGGCACAGGAGGCGCCTCTGGGAGTGAGGATGGAGAGGGCAGAGCGCCCACCTCACTGCTTTTCCTAGGACCTGACCTTGCTATAGGGCCACGAAAACTCATATGTCTGTGAAGACCCCTTGCTTAAGGGCTGGCAGCTTCTGGTGCCCGGTAGCCTTTACCAGCAAAGGTGACTACTATTCCCACGGGCTTCCTCCTTCCGCCCCTTGCTGTGGTATTCATTCACTCCTTCGTTCAGCACATTTTTATCGAGTCTTTATGAGAGGCCGGAGGCGATAGCTTAGTGGCAATTAGTCTGATTATTTGGAAAAAAAAGAAATTTATGAAGTCCAGTGACACATTTGGATTAACCTTTCAACCAGCTTTAGCAGGCATGCATTATAATGGGGGCTGTCGGGTAGTTGAAACCCCCATAATAAAGTCACCTTCATGCTTAGCTGACAGTCCTCCTGCCCCGCCTTGTCGAACTGGTTTAAGCCGACAGTGACATCTTCTGGTAAATCCTAGAGTACAGCCCTGTGCCGGTGGGAGGCTCTCCTTCCTCAACACGCTCCCTTGTCTTTGGGAACAGATAGATCTCCACCACCAGGGTGAATGTCATGACCAATGTTTTGGAAGCACCATCCTCACGTGGAAAGAGAGGAGGCACCCCAGGGAGGCAGAGACAGACGCTACAGGGATGGTCACGGCCACAGAGAAATGAGAGGCACCCACATGCACACATGTGCACACCCTGCCTGCCCTGGTGACCGCAGCTGTCCTACCCTCTGAAGATAACAGGTCCAGGGATTGCCCACAGCCCACGTCTTCCAGGGAAGACAGGCCTGGGCTCCCAGGTTGCCTCCACGGGAAACACTCGATGCTGCTGGAAAGAACGATCCCGGCGGTGGAAAGGCTTAAAGGTTGGTGTCCGGGAGTGTCGTCCAGTGGCCTCCCAGATACCATAGTGTGCTGGAGGTGGGAAGGCAGGTAAGGATAACACGTGGGAGGTTTGGTTGGGCAAAGGATCCAGAAGGCTCGTTACTCTGAGGAGAGTTGTTAGGGAACTGTCAGAGAAGCCGTCTCCCCAGCCAGGCCACCTGAAGATGTGACAACCCAGCCCGACGGGAACGTGCAGGGGGTGGCGCTCCTCCCGTGGCCAGTTCAGTGCAAGCACCTCACCTGTGCCTGGCACGGGGTGCCTGCAGCGCCAAGACATGGCGTTTCGATAGAAGGTGTTCTTATTTTTAAGATTATTTATTTATTTGACAGAGAGAGAGAGAGCGAGCACAAGCAGGGGAAGCGGAAGGCAGGGGGCAGAGGGAGAAGCAGACTCCCCGTTGAGCAGGGAGCCTGATTCGGGGCTCGATTCCAGGACCCTGGGATCATGACCCGAACCGAAGGCAGGCGCTTAACCCACTGAGCCACCCAGGCGCCCCAACAGAATGTGTTCCTAATGGTTGGAGCAAGCACAAGGTATGATGAAAGCACCTTGCTAGCCTAACAATATGGGCAACAGCTCCTGCTGCTTTATTTTGAAAACAAATAAGAATGAGAGGAGGCAGGAAGAGAGGAATGGAGTATGAGGCAGAAAGATGAGCATGAGCAAAGTCACAGGATACAGACTAGCCTGTTGTGTGTGGAAGAAGTGCATTGAAAACCTCTTACGGGGGTGGGGGGTGTGTGCCTGGGTGACTCAGTTGGTTAAGCATCTGCCTTCGGCTCAGGTCATGATCCCAGGGTCCTGGGATCGAGCCCCTGCTCAGCGGGGAGCCTGCTTACCCCTCTCCCTCTGCCTGCCGCTCCCCCTGCTTGTGCTCTCTCCCTCTCTCTGACAAATAAATAAATAAATAAATAAAATCCTTAAAAAAAAAGAAAAAGAAAACCTCTTACTGGGAATGAAGGGGAGTGGCAGGGGTTGTGGATGGAGGGGTAGCCACAGACCTGGCTGTGGAAGGCCTTAGGACCCCCCAAGAAAGGGTTTAGACTTCTGTAGCTGACAGGGAGGCCTCTGAAGGGGTTTCAGCAGGGGAGCGACATGATGAACTCGGTGTTTTAGCAAGCTCACAGGGTATGGGGTGCGGAGATGGAATTAGGGAAATTCGCCTAAGGTTACTGCAGAAAACAAGGCAGAAGAAGGAGGGAAGCCTAGAGACAGTTTTAGGAGGCAGCATTAACAGACTTGGTGTCAAAATGAACACAGAGGAGAGGAAGGAGGAGGGTTAAGGATGCTTCCAGTTTCTGGAGGAAGGCCTCGGGTCCGCTGGGACACCCAAAAGAGAGTTGAATGGACAGATACAGCACTCAGGGGGTGATCTGGCCTGAAGATAAAGATGTGGCGTTAACAGCAAAAAGTAGTCATTTCAAACCATGACAGCCTACTTGCAGATCGAAGTGTAATTCCACACGTGTGGCTTCAGCGCTTTGAAGACCGACTTTAAGTACCCTGGGGTAGCCCAAGGTTTCCCTTCTTAATGCTAAATATGGTTTTCAACTATTCTGGACACTGCTTCAAGTTCCCTCACTGTCCTCTTGTTGCCCCTGAATATATTCCACTTTACTGGAACGTGTCCTCCAGGCACAGTCTGACAAGTGACAAGTAGGGACAGTCTGTCACCTCCCTCATTCTCGACACCATTGCTCAGTGTGGCCTCGTATATCACATTGGCCTTTTAGGCAGACATGCCACACCACTGACGCACAGTCAACTAAACTCTTCCATTCTTTGACACATACACCATTCTGAAACCCAATCTACTTTATCCTGGACCTGGATGTAGTTTACTTGTGGCCCTGTTTAATTTCTTCTTGTTAGAGTAAGTCCGAGCCTGTCAAAACACATCTGGATTCTGATTATATCCCCCAGTATCTTCACCATATCTCCTTATTCCTTTTGGCAATGCTTGTAGCCAGGCATTGATAAAACAGAACAAGATGCAGGCAAGAGCTGCTGGAAATCTACCTTCAGGTGGACATTACTCCGAAGGGTGCTGCTGAATGGATTGATTTAATTTTAAATGAGTGAGCCATTTAAAATGGCTCAGCCCCAGGAAAAACACACTCAGCCTGTTTTGCTTAGTGGTAATGGGACAGGAATATCTTAGGACAAAACTTGTCACTTAATTAAGATGAACAGGTGTCGCATCTTTAAAATGGAGTCATGACTCCCCATCAGTTACCTAGGTGAATTTAATGACCATTGTTCAGTGTGTCTGTATACCCCTGGCCCCTTACA